CTCCACTGCAACGCATTGTGGTGTAGTCTTCGTTTATTGTGGATAATTTCCATTATTTAGCATTAATGTTTAAAATGCTTATCAAAAGTGATTAGTACTTGCAGCTCTGAAGCCCAAACACGTGAACTAACTATTTTAGTTCAGTAAGCTGCCAATCACAATGAGAGAACTGCTGTTACGTCAATGCCCTCAAGAGAGATTTTTGTTTCATCTGCCTTCATCGTTTATATTTTTTAATTGTTTAGCATTTTTCTCACATGCATATTCCATATTAGGAGGGTGAAGGGTTATTGATGCTGACGGTACATTGCTACAGAACATAACTTTAAATGTTGAAATCACACAGATATTTCAAGGCGAGATAAAAGTTTACGCGTGAAAGACTTTAACTGCACATATATCTGTTTAAACTGCATTTGGTGATGTGTTCAGCTTCAAGGCAGACAGACAGTGGGCGTGTCGAGCGCGGAGTGGGCGTGTCCAGCCGTCAGCAGGCTTTACCTCATGTCATTGCGCTTCCTCCTCACGCCTCTGTCTCCAGCGCCTCGACGCTCCGGGTCTCAACGTTATTCGCCGCTTTGGAAACGAAAAACTCCCGAATATTCACAACATGGGGCTTAACAGCGACCCAAACTTCATCAAACTGGAGCAATGGTACAAATCCAGTGCGGGAAACCTCAACATGAGGCAAATGTTCGAGGCCGACCAGAGCAGATTCAACAAGTTCAGGTGAATTAAACGCACTTCCGTTACATAACAACGGGTTTCTGGGATTTATCTCGCTTTAAAGTTAACATTGCATCTCATCAGGCGTGTCAGCATCCGTCCTGGCGTGTGTCGCCACCTGCTCCGAATAACCTCCTCATTATAATGCGCATAAACGTCTTAGTTTTAACCCTTTACATGAAATGTCGTCTCAATAGTTATATAATCTGCTCTTTAGACGGATATGAATGAGTTCCGATGCATTTATTATGTGCTGTTTCCTGAGACATCGCTGTTGCAAGGTTATTGCATTATTGCATGCAGCAGGTTACGCCTCCTCCTGCTTCATTTCCTTCATTTAATCTCGGTTTAACTCCCCCAAGAGCTCTGATAACCCACGCGTGAGGTTGTATCTGCAGAAGAGGCCTCTAAACATAGCCGAGCTAGCTGCAGGAGACCCAGAGCAAGGTCACGACTCATCGATTGTCATCGAGAGCTCCTCATGCACTTTACTCCGCTACGTTTGAATTTTGCTGGGGTTTCTGTCACTAGATCCTCGAGATGCTTATGCAGTCTCGTAATCCATGACGTCATCGTGCCAAAGTGGATGCTGCGCTATTCGTATGCTGAATTAAGTGATAGTTATGCTACGTTTGGGTTGTTTTGAGCGTTTATACGATGGATTTATCTCATAAGCTATGATTAATGTCAGTGTTGGCCGGCAGGGGGCGTGGCTGGAGTGTGTTGTACGTGATTCGCTGCACACGCTCCCTCACACACGCTGCAGAATGAATCACTGCGTGCTCCAGTGGAGTGTGTGCGTGTGTGCGTGTGTGTGTGTGCGTGCGTGCGTGCGTGCGTGCGTGAGACAGAGTTGATTAAATAAACATTCATGTGCCGTGTATACATGTATTAGTTCACTCAGTAGATTGCTCTTAATAATTAAAAATAACTCAGTCATCGTATTTCACCATGGAGACGACCTCGGTGAGAAAAGTTTCTTTTCACGGCACTGCAACAACACACGAGATAGTTATGCTGCAGCAACAAGGTCTCTCCCAGAGAAACCTTTCAAAGGGCTTTCCTTGAACTACATTTCTGCAGCTGGAGATTTGGCAAGGATTAGTGGTGTTCTTAGTGCTGAGAAATACAGGAAGGCCCATCATGAACTTTCATTTTGCAGAAGGACAATGAGTACAAATCATTAAAGAGAAAAAGTTGAGAAGTTTGATGTGGAGCTAAAACTGTCGCTTGGGTGAGCAGACGATGAGGATGCGGAACAGCCTCTGCACGGAGGGCCACAGTGTTCCAGCAGCTCGGTTAAAAGTTCAGCACTATCTTTATATATTTAGTCATTAAAGGTAGCTGTACCGTGATGAAGAGTGGGGCAAATACAAGGATCATTTTCATGAACGTCACATTTTCAGTTAAACATTTATCAGACCAGTAAATGATTCATTGGATTGATAAAGAAGGGAAACACAATGTTTTTTTTTTTCTTTAGAGTTTTTGTTTCTGCTTTTTCTGCCAATTCTCCTCTGAACTACAAGGCATCTGCTCCCACAGAACCGCCAAACACTGGAGATTTTCCCAATAGAGCAGCTGCTTCTGAAATACTCAGACCGGCCCGTCCGGTAGCAGCAACCAATCCAGATCGTCTTCACCACGTCTACAGGCCTGAATGTGTTGAGCTGCCGCCGTGTGATTGGCTAAATAGAAGTTTGCATTAACGAGCAGCTGGACAGTGACTATATAAGATACAGTGGTACCGCGGGATACGAATGCTTCGAGTTACGAAATGTTTGAGATATTAAATGAATGTTATCTGTATCCCCTAAAAAAATGTACGCTGCCAACGATCAAATTCAGGGAAGCCGTTCTCAAATTTTTGTTTAGAATTGCAAAATAAGTCGTATATAGCAGCTGCGTGTAAGAGGGCCGTGTGGAGTTGAGGCGGAGCTCTGAAAACACGATGGTTCCATCTTTCTCAGGAAGTCTTGTGTGCGCATGTGCAGCCGTCAATGGCAGCCTCCTCTCCAGCCCGAAAAAAGCTTCAGGCACCATCCATATTATTGTACAGTCTATGGTTGTGACTAGTAGAGAATGGAGGATTAAATGCTATAAGGGCTTGCCATACTTACATAGGGGTTTGCATGAAATAGATTGAAAGGAAATAACCAAAGTATTGTTCCTTTCATTTTTTTTGTTCATGGAACAGATTCTGGCGGCCAGTAATAATGTTAGAATGCTCCAGCAGTACAAGCATCCACTTCATCCAAACAGCAATAACGGTGTTTGTGAGTTTACTTTAAATAAATGAGTCTGTAGCACTCGGTGTAAGCTTCGACTCAAACTAAATACCGATGTTTGGATGAGCGTCTTGACTGATGAAGCTAATAACTGTCTCGTAATCCAGCGTTCAGGATTCCGTAGGGTTTTATGGCTTGTTCCAGTCTAAACAGTTGTGAAGGCTCCTGACGGATGTTTCTGGAGGATCCTCGAGTGCTAGCGTTCTAACGATATCTCCCTCTCTCCCTCTCTCTCTCTCTCTCTCTCTCTCCCTCCCTCCCTCTCAGTCTGCAGCTGTCCACAGATGATGGAGATCTTCTGCTGGATTACTCCAAGAATCTCATCAATGAAGACGTCATGCGGATGCTCTTTGACATGGTACAGTCGTCTCAAATCGTATTCGTGATCTGCTTTTGGGTTTTAAAGCTCTGTGTAGCTCTCGCAGGTCGTGAATCATTCGACTGCTTTTGATTTATTTTGGAGCATGAAATAATCCTCGAGATGCAGCAGATTCCCCCGTAAGTTTCTCTCGAGTTAATCTCCTTGTTCTCTCTCGGCCGCTGACCTTCAGGCTCGATCTGTGGGTGTCGAGGAAGCTAGAGAGAAGATGTTTGCTGGAGACAAGATCAACTTCACTGAGGTGAGGGCAACTCTGGCTTCCCAGAGCCTCTGAAACATCTTCCTGAGCACAATTGTGACTCTCCATAAAGCATTCTATCGAACACTAGAAACGCGTTTTATTAATGTAAGCGGTGCCTGTGACTCTGTGAAGGGCCGTGCTGTACTCCACACTGCTCTGAGGAACCGATCGAATGCTCCAGTGATGGTGGACGGGAAAGATGTCATGCCTGAGGTCAACAGAGTCCTGGAGCAGATGAAGGCCTTCTGCCAGGTCAGTACCCCCCAGCTCTGTGAAGGTTCTATGTCTGTACGGAGCAGTTTGAACTCCGAAGAGTCTTTGTGTTTCCTGCGGCTGAGAGTTTGTTTGCTTGCAGAGAGTGCGCAGCGGCGAATGGAAGGGATTCAGCGGGAAGAGCATCACTGATGTGGTGAACATTGGCATCGGAGGATCTGACCTGGTGAGATTCAGCTTCTAACTGTGTTTCTAACAACTTTGAAAAGGACAAGAACATGATCTTAAAGGGAACTAGACCAAATCAAAAAAATATCAAGGACAAGACTTTAAAGAGCTGAGAACCATAAAGGGGCAAGACTTTATAACCACTTCATAACTGTTCTCCAGGGTCCTCTGATGGTGACCGAGGCTCTGAAGCCATACTCTAAAGGAGGACCCAACGTCTGGTTCGTTTCAAATATTGATGGCACACACATGGCGAAGACACTGGCACAGCTCAACGCGGAGACCACGCTCTTCATCATCGCCTCAAAGGTACCTCACACGAGTCACATGTCGTTAGCGAGGTGCATATTTGCGTCTGAGGCTCCGCTACATCCTTGTTTCTCGATCTCGAATGGATGGTTCTGACATGTGCTTCTCTGTGCTGCAGACGTTCACCACACAGGAGACCATCACCAACGCCGAGACGGCCAGAGAGTGGTTCCTCCAGGCAGCTAAAGATGTTCGTAGCCGTTTCACACATTGTCTTTCAGTAAAAGCTACTGATGCTAAAATGTTTTTGTTTTGTGCTTTCAGAAATCTGCCGTGGCTAAGCATTTCGTGGCTCTTTCCACCAACGCCGTAAGTGACCTCCTCGTTCTGGTTTAAACGGCGTTCCGTCTGCATGCGGTTCTCATGATTCTAACTCAAATATTCGTCTCCCCCTCAGCCCAAAGTCAAGGAGTTTGGCATCGACACCAGCAACATGTTTGAGTTCTGGGACGTGAGTATCTTCTGTGTGCATTTGAACAGAATCCTCCAGGAGAAGACAGAAGAGAACTCTAGAGATAAAAGTAAAGTTCGGTCGATAGCAAATGAAACGTTGTATAGTGTTGGAACGGTTCACCCAAGAGCGGATTCTGACCGGACGAGTTCCACACGCCATAGTTTTCCTGTGGCTCTGTTGGTTGAGCAATGGACTTGCAGCACAGAGATCACGGGTTCAAACCCCGTAGAAAGTCACTTCGGATGCAAAATCTAAATCCTGTCAGTCACCCAGCCATTAATGCAGCATCTTTTCCTAAAAATAGAGTGTTATTTGACATAGAAATGGATTGTGTCGCAGCTCTGCTGGATCTGTTTACAGTGCGGTCACTAAACGTGTGCTCTTTCGTGTTTCAGTGGGTCGGGGGGCGCTATTCGCTGTGGTCTGCCATCGGTTTGTCCATCGCTCTGCACATAGGTACGTCTGCCGCCGTGAAGAAAGCTGCTGCTGTCTCTGAACTTAACAAATGACTTGAATCAGCTTTAAACTGTGTTTATTTCGCATGTCATTAAAAAACACAAATGTAAAGAGCAAATGATTAAAAGTGAGAAATTGTGAGAAATCTTTATTTTAAAATGTTGTCAAAATATTTCAAAATTCTGAATAGTTTTGGGGACCCCAAACTTTGTTGTGGGTGCAGTACCAAACACCACCACCGGAGGAGAACTTGTAACGCTCTAAAAAGAGAACACCTCATTGTTCAAGTCTCTCCAGAAGCAAACAGGTGGGAGGAGAGGAAAGGAACAAGAAGCTGCAGGTTCCTCATTCTTTCTGGCCACCAGAGGGAGCTTGAAGAGATATCTGCGACCCGTGGAACACTGTGGCAAGCAAGGTGTGCTGTTTCTCCACCACATCATCAGGAGCATAGAGGAGATACCAGGAGGGGCTGAAGAGGAACCACCCAGCAGAAGAACATTCATCAGCGCTTTACAAAGGAGCCTACAGAAAACAAGAGTGATTGGAGGTTCTATCACTGGTGCCCAGTCCTCTGCACGGATGAGAGCTGGTTCACCTGGAGCCCCAGTGGAGGAGTGTCAGCAGATACACGGGCCATCTGCTGCTGCTGCTGCAGGTTCTGGGTTCCTGCTGATGAAGCATGGACTCCAGCAGCTCATTGACACATCTGGTTCACCTGGAGACCCCATGCTCTGATCTTCATTCTGAAGATGTTGTAGTAGTTGCTGCATGTGTTTCAATCCGCTGTGAGAAGATTTAGTGCTAGATCATACTTTCTCCAAACCATCAGATACGTTTGGAACTGAGCAGCAGGTTTATTTCTAGGCCTCCTGAGAAATGTTCCTCAGTGGAGTCCAGTGTTCAGCACCCCTGCATGTTCTCCAGAAGAGGACTCTGTTTGTCTTCTGCTGATCTGGTGTCTGCTTCTCTTGCTTCAGGTTTTGACAACTTCGAGCAGCTTCTGTCTGGTGCTCACTGGATGGTAAGAACCTTCAGAATCAGACGTTCAGAGGCTGAAAGCACCACTGAGACGCCAGAAATGAGGATTATTCTCCTGCATCTTCATCCATGATTCTCTCTCTCTCAGGACAATCACTTCCGCTCGGCGCCGCTGGAGAGGAACGCTCCGGTGCTCCTGGCTCTGCTGGGGGTCTGGTACGTGAACTTCTTCCAGGCGGAGACGCACGCACTGCTGCCGTACGACCAGTACATGCACCGCTTCGCCGCTTACTTCCAGCAGGTCAGTGATGCCCGAGAGGGAGGTGCACACGAGAAGACGACGAGTGAAAGCTCTCTCTCTCTCTCTCTCTCTCTCTCTCTCTCTCTCTCTCTCTCTCTCTCTGCTGCAGGGAGACATGGAGTCGAACGGGAAGTACATCACCAAGAGCGGCTCTCGGGTGAACTATCACACCGGACCCATCGTGTGGGGAGAGCCCGGCACCAACGGCCAGCACGCCTTCTACCAGCTCATTCACCAAGGTCCGTCCGAGGTTCAGTCTAAAGCCATTCCACCAATCAGATGTGAGGAGCTGCAGGTGTCGTCTATCAGGGTTACGAGCTCCTGCTGATCCTTGTCTGTCCACGTAAAACAAAGCAGATTTTTTTTTTTAATTCTGACTATTTTTTTTTTCCAGAATTTCAAACTTTGAAACACAGTAAAAGTGCATTTTGGTTGAAAATGTTATTTAAAAAGTGAGAATGTATCAAACAATTCTTGAATTTGGAAGATTTCTTGTCATTTTATAATCACAGCTTCATTTATTTCTAAGAATTTTGCATTTTTTTAATGTTGCAATAGTTTTTTTACCTTATTACTATACTGTTTTATTATAGCAATTGTGTTAATCATTTTTTGTTTTTATTTTTTTTATTTTCTTCTCATATTTGTTTTTTTTTCTTGTAAATTAAATTTGTTTAAAACATTTTTACTTACATTTGTTCCTGTTAGTTTAAGCATTTTTTTCCGAATTCAGACATTTTTTTTTCTTGGAAAACAGACATTTTTAACCCAATTCAGATTTTTAATTTTATTTTAAATTTTTATAAAACTTTTGATGATTTGTCGAGGCCACATTTAGGTTCGTATCATTTTGCCGAGCATGAATGTTCCGAAGGCTTTTCTAAATGTTTTTCTTCGGTTTCATGGTGAATGTTTTTCCTGAAGCACATTCGGCGTCTGTCCCTCTGCAGGAACTCGCTTGATTCCAGCGGATTTCCTCATTCCTGCTCAGACGCAGCATCCCATCAGAGAGAACCTGCATCACAAGGTGCGGCCACCACCTGATCGCCGAGTGATCTTCAGGGTGACTCGAGCGTGATGTTCCTCTCTGCTTCTCTCCATCAGATCCTCATGGCCAACTTCCTGGCGCAGACGGAGGCTCTGATGAGAGGCAAGACCACGGAGGAGGCCAGGAAAGAACTCCAGGGAGCCGGGGTTTCTGGAGACGCTCTGGAGAAGCTGCTGCCGCATAAAGTGAGCTTGTGTTTCTGTGAAGCGCAGGGATGGACTGAGGGGGTCGACAGAACGAAGGGTTTTGATGAAAGATCTTCTCTCTTGCTCTCACTCCCCGAGGCCCTTGCAGTGGTCTACTGTAAAAGCACTCAGAGGAAGATGCAGAAGTCCTTTTGTCTCTCTCTCTCTCTCTCTCTCTCTCTCTCTCTCTCTCTCACATTCCACTGGCAGAAATGAGATTCCCTGACATTTATATGATCCGGATGACATCATTCATTTTTTTGTACTTTTCACATCAGTGGGGTTTTTTTAATAATTTTTTTTTTGTAGGTTTTCCAAGGCAACAAGCCGAGCAACTCTATCATCTTCCAGAAACTGACCCCATTCATGCTCGGGGCGCTGGTGGGTGAGTACCGGACCAGTTCTCCCAGTATGCTTTGTGTCTGTGCGAGGCCTGGAGCTCATGCGCTGTGTGCTGTTTTTTAGCGATGTACGAACACAAGATCTTTGTTCAGGGCGTCATGTGGGACATCAACAGCTACGACCAGTGGGGGTAAGTCCTGATGCAGCAGGCGCGTGACGTCCTCCACATTTACGCTAGAATGAAAAGAGTGCTTTTTTTATTTTTTTTAAATATTTAGCGCGCCACATTGAATTTAAGATGAAACTCTAGAAGGTTGTGAACGAGTCTTGCTCCGGTTTTGAAGATCCGGCTGTTTGTGACTCATCATGTTTTCTGTTGCATCAGTGTGGAACTGGGAAAGCAGCTGGCCAAGAAGATCGAACCCGAGCTCCAGGACGACGCTGATGTTCATTCCCACGACTCCTCCACCAACGGCTTGATCAGCTTCTACAAGAAGAACCGCTCCTGAGCGAGCTCCGTGAGCAGGAAGAGCACTTTATGAGTGTGTTCATCTGTGATGTTCTGTATCTGTGTGTGTGGACCAGCTCAATCACTGCACTGCACTCGTCTCTCCTTCGATCCTCTTTGAACCACAATAAATGTATTATTGTCACTTTACCGGATTTCTGCCTCGTTTCTGCAGCAAACAACTGTTTCAGTTTCATCGACCGGACGTTCTTCTGATGCAGGATGTGTTTCTCCGTCATGATTTAGTTCCCAATGCAGGTTTTTTTTTATCTTCACTATTTTAGACTAAATGTAAAATTGACTAATATACGACTAATATAAAATGGGATTTCTGGTTTAGATTCTTTGTTTTTGTAAAATACTTATAATTAAACATTTTAATTGTCAGATTTGAATTTTCAGACATTTTATTCAAATTTAAAATTTTTGGGATTTCTACCTTTTATTCCTCAGATTTAAAAGTGTTCTATTTTGTATTTTTGAGTCTACGTTTTATTTTTGCAAATTTGTTAATCATTTATCTTTCCAATTTGGAGGTTTTAAGATTTCTCTGTTTTCTGGGTTTTTGTCACAAAGTGGTTTCATATTTTTATAAGAAAATTTTTTCAAATCAAATTTACTTTTTCTAAAATTTCTTGTAATTAGGTTTTACAGATTTTCTTGCTCATATTTTGTTTTTTTGAATCTCCCAATTTCAGATTTAGGCCACAAAAGAAAAAAAATCCAGAAAGATGATTGAAAAATGTTACTTTTCAATTATAAATATTTCAGGTTCCTGTCGTTTTTACAACTTCTGAATTTAAGAAAAAAATCTTGCTCCGATAACGAAGATTTTTCAGAAGATTACTAATATTTTTTTCCTCTCAAAAGACTGATTTTATTGGCTATAGGAGGCAAAAAACAGTTGAAGTGTGTAAAAATCCAAGTACCCCTCACTGCAGACTGTAGTGCGGTGACATCAGGGATATATCTTGAGTGAGTGAGCGTGCGTGCGTGTGTGTGTGTGTGTAGCGAGAAGCTGCTTGATGCAGAGGAGGAGTTATGCAGATTCTAACCCCTGTGATGTTTTGTAGCTCCGCCCCTCTGTTGGTCCGTATCCCCTCTCCTCTTATGCTCTGTATAGCTCCTCCTTCCACATGCTCTGCATGGAGCAGCACTAGTGCTTTGCACACATGCACGCGTGTCTTCATTTTCCTTTCTTCTGGGTTAGGGTTCCGGTTAGGCTCACACATACCGTAATGTCCGAACTGTACGTCACCGCACTACAGTCAGCAGCGAGGGGTATCTCCAAAATTCTCCCTTTTTGCTCTTAGCCCCTAGTGGCTAGTTGCTGAATTGCAGTTTCCTTATTTTCATTTTGGCTTCATGAGGGAAAGGAGATGCCCCTGTCTGCAGACTACAGATAGGTTAAACTC